AAGAAGAAACTTTATGCTGGACTAATTATGGAAAAGAATTTATAATTCAGTATAATGATCTTGTGAAAAATAGTAATAGAAAAATTGGTAAGAAAAAGGCAAAGAGCATAATATATGATAAAATATTAGAACACCTTAATATCATCTGTGAAAGGAAATGGGATTACAGCTCCCAGAAATTTTACGTAAAACTTTATGCAAAAAGACCCAAAAGGCCGTAAGGACTTATAAATTATTTGACAAAATAGGTATGATAAAATTAAGTATCTTAAAGCATATAGCGCAAATTCTATTTCAGAATTGACCAACAAACAAATTTAAAAGATAATTGATAGTATTTCTAATCATGAATCTAATATAGGAAATCACATGACTGAAATTTCAACGACGGCCCGTCGCCAAAATCATACAACCGAAATTGTGAGTACTTTACCAGAAACTGAGATAAGTGCATTTTTTGAGAAGTTATCACCGGAAAAATCATCAGAAACGATTTCAGAGGAATCAACTGAGGCAAGCACATCATCCAATCCAACCCATGACCATGCTTATTTTCGTAATAAAATCTTGTGGCGATATTCTGATTTATATAAAGAATTTAGTAGTGAAAAATTTGATTATTATAGAATTCTTGAGGGATTATTATGTCCAGTATGTAAATTATATCATGAAGATAGGAAAAGTGTAAAAAGTAGATACGAAGCTGGATCCTATTTTATTAAATGTGGGGGCATAAAATTGAGATCACAGTATAAGCAAATAATTATTGCGAAGCAATGACCCTTTGGGTCTATATAAACTTGGACAAGTGGATAGTAATATTTTTCTTGACAGCTACGTGATTTTGAATTGACTTGCATTAATATAAAATGATAACATGTCTTCTGATACTACTTTCAGCAAGATATTAACTGATGACTATTGCAAATAGCATGCTAATTTAGTTGATTTACCAAGTTCTCAGACAGATAAAATTCATTTTAGATTATATAAAGCATATATAGAAGAGACTGGACTCGATCCTTGGATAAAGTCTGAAACTTTTGAATCCTCACAAATCAGTGAAGTTAGCACGACCAAAAAGGATGCCAATAATTATATCTCACAAGATTGTATTATTAAAATTTCTAAGTTTCTAGAAGAAAAAAGCACAATCCATGAAGCAGTACATAAACGTTTTTCTTTCTTATCATATACTAATTCAAATGCATGGCACCAGAATGTTTTTAAATATACCAATTCAGAAGCTAAATGCCCAGTATGCAAAGAGGTACATACACATCGAGGTATATGAGGTGATTAGAGCTGTCTCGATAAAAATAATCATTATTTTCTTAATTGCCCTTTTCGTATCGATCAAAAGAAAGTTATAATAGCTATACAGAGCACACCAGAAATTCAAGTAAGTGTACCAAACAAAACCCGCCTTTATTAGCCAGAGGCAGGCTTATGCCAATATGCCATTGAACATGGAATGGATCCCAAGAAATTTTTGGTCATTACTGAGGCTGAAAAAAATAGATGAACCACAGGATGTTTTTATGAGGATTTGGAAAGAGATATACATTTCTATTATGGTGGAATAGAAAGAAAAGAAGACACTAGAAAATATCATAAATTTTTAACAGATCGGGAGAGGCTAGTCGGTGAAGAGTTATTATATCGTAGTATACTAAAAAGTGGCTTGAGTACTGCATGGCTTGATGATCTTATGGAAGAATGAGAAAAAATCCATACTCAATTCATACAGATATCTTTTGAAGAAAAGACTTTATTTGTACCGCAGGTAAATATTCAATCTGGACTATCCAAACCTCGATCACCAATTTCTATTCTACCTAAAGACCCAGAAGAAAGGCAACAACACGTTATTGAAATGGTATTAAAACGATTTCCTTATTTAACTTTGAAACATAGTTTTAAATATAGTAATTATTTTGATTTTAATAGATCTGTACTCTGTCCTATATGCAACAATGATCATAAAAAAGAGAATATAAGAAATTTTATAGAGGGTGAGTAGGGAAGTGGCGAATATTGTGGTGAAAAAACTTATTGTCTCTATTGTTATAAAAATAAATATCAAAATTCAATCCAAATAGTAACTATAAAAGCATAGATTAATAAGAAAACTCTTTTATTTTCACTAATTAATAATCACAAATTGCATTGCAGGCCCGAAGGGGCGACTCTAAAGGGTCAAAATCACGTAAAAATAAAAGATGATTAGGACCCCTTCTTTATTTAATATTTTTTTTGCCGTAATGACAATATACATATAAAAAATATATATTGCTATTATAAGTGCGAATACAAATAAAAAAAAATCTAAATAATTTGTGTTTCTGATCCTGGTAATTGTTCTACAAGTACATGAATAATATTTTGATTAGGATTATTACTGAAAAGAGTATAAAGATTAGTATGAGGATGCATATTCACATATCCTCCTTGGGGCAAAATATAAGAAACCGGCGAGGTGTGATAGTTGCACCAGATGGTAATAGGGACAAACGGGCTTGAACTTGAGTTTCTAATGATTCAACATCACTTTCATTAGAAACTTTGATTTTAAAAAAATGATACGGTAAGCAGAGTGTGATGAGACAATTAAGATAAATATCGACATAGTCATTATCCTTGGAGGCTTCAGGGTTGCTAGTCTTGGGGTGGTGCTATCGTTAGTGCTCATTTTTCGTTCCTAAATACAAAAAATAGTAAGTAAAAATTTATTCTCATAATCTCGGTTAAATGAAATAGCAAATTACTTAAAAAATAAATTATGGGCAAATGAACAAGTAAAAAATATATATAAGCAAAAAATAACGTTATTGCTAACTTATCTTATGGGCGGGAGCCTGCTTATTTTTATACTTCATGTTCGTTAGGTCTGAGAACCTGCCAGAAGGAAAACTCCATTAATAATTAAGTTACCCAAATCCAACGCCAGTTTTTATCTCCATAAAGCAACTCTGCTCGGTCATAAGTTCCAAATACTGAATGTATTTTATTATTTTTTTTAGATGAAATTAAACCCTCTTAGATTCAACGATCGCTTAAGGTGGATTTAGATCTGACGATCTCGAGATGGCGGAGATCTCAAGTTCATACAACATATGAAACTACTGATTAAGAACATTATACGTATTACCCTTATAACCTTTTTAAGTCCCATTCTTATCGCGGGATCTTATATAAGGTAAGGAAAAGGTTCTAGAGCGCGTAGTTATTAACTGTTAATCAAAAATCGACCATGAAAAATGATTCTGCAGGAGAGTAATACCGCATAAAATTTAATACAGGCCATTGATTATTAAAGCCAGTCAAGGATTCGAACTGAATATCAAGTAACGTGACATCGCTATTTTAGCTTTGTCATACTATCATATGACTTAATGGTCCTGTGGGTCTGCTTTTATTTTGGTCTAGGTTATAATGTGTACGTACTTTATTTTTTTCTAGCATAGATCAATGGCGAAATAAGTCACAAACGGCTGTAATTTTTGAATGGTTATTAACGTGGTTGTACTAAATTAACGCACATTTATGTTTGTAGGTATTTGTACAGTATTTACACTTCTGCTAGATGTTTGATCAACATATTTTGATTATATTGCATAAATAACGAAGTTATTCTAAATTTGTAGATCCAACTTAAATATAGCATGTAAAATAATTACTGTACTCTGTATAGCCAAATGCGTCTCAACAAGTTATTAATGTAATCCCAAATATAGAAAATGTGCGATTGTTGATTGAATTGCCATGTCCAATAATTGTGGTACCGAATTTGGTAAACACGCAATTGTTTGTTAGAAAATTACCATGTCTATTATATAATGTCAAATAAAGCAACGTGCTAACCATTGTTTTGACGAATTACTATTTTTTAAAAAGTGCACTCTGTAATCGCAAAGTGTTAAATCATCAAGTTATGTTTTGCAACATACAATGCCGTGATAAAAAAATATTTGGCAAATTGATAAATTAACACGCATTGGAGTAACTATACCTTTAGTTATAATTGTATTTTCTAATAAAAGGGTACCTTCCAACATAGATGCTTATAATTTATTTGACATTTTTTTTATACTTCATTATACGTTGTTATATTCACTATATATTTCTACCTGTTAATAACTTAAAATTCAAAAACAATGCAAGCATCTATCGAGAAGCATAAAAATAAAAATGAAATTCCTAACCTTATTAACATGTTCCAAGAGAAACCAGTCAAAAAGTTGTCATGTCATGCTCACTATAATAAAAAACAAAAGCTTGAGAAAGAACAAAATTCGGCCTTGTTGATGGATTATAATGTATTAAGACCAATTTTACCATTGATAATTAGTGATATTATTTTTGATCCAAATCGGGTATATATCATTTTTGCCTTAGATTCTGGTTTTACTCTCTCATGCCTGGGTTATTTTTGTGTTAATTAATCAATCGTCCAAGTTACTTGCTATGAATATACTTAAGCTATGTAAAAAATTGTTGCTCTGCAACTAGGGCCTCTGGCTTCTGTATATTATATGTTCGAAAGGGTATAATCATCATTTTGATGGCTCAGTACTTTGGCTTGGGTGGTTTGTTCAGTCCACAAAAAATATACAACCTAGTGCAGATTTATATAATCATTCATATCGATAATTGCATCAGATATCTAATTTTATTTTCCATTATGTTAGCATCGGACCCAATATGCGACTCGGGGATTGTGTACGCGTAATAAAATTCATTATATTGAAAAGGAATGGAAGAGTGTTCCCCTTTGTCTGTCGGATCGTATATCATTGGGGTGTCAAAATTTGCAAAGAAATTTCATCCAAAGATCTTTTAGTCGACATGCTAATTCGAGAGGCAAGGTCGGCTAATAATATTGAGTTGTCTGATGCCCTGCCTAATTTTCTTCTGTTAGTAAATAAAGAAATAATTAAAATGGGGGCATGATTATGCCAATTCCTATCCTGATAATGCAAAAAATAAACGTTTATGGGTTGCTCTTGGTCGCTGGTTGGGGATGGAAGAACCAGTTATAAGAAGAGATATGTATCGTCACCTTCGGTCTAAATAGATAGATCTTAAATATGCTGTTGATTTTCAAAACAATGAATCACAGGATATTTTAAGAACCACCTCATATATTTCTCGAAAAGAGAAAGCTCATTTAATAATAACTGCCTGGGGTAATCTCTGTTCGTTTAAAAAATTAGTAAAACTTCGCCATTTAACCATTTCGGAGTGTGTTATGGATGTAGAAGGTAGAACCTTAGTACACTTGGCATTACTAAATAATCCAAGGGCGGTTATACAAGCAACGGATGCCGTAAACCATTATTATTTTTACACCCTAAATAACCCTTCCCATCATAGTGATGAATTCTGAAAAAATTTTATAGAACATTTTGGTGCATATACACGAAATAATCTCCTTCCATTTACTAGTTTAAATACTACAAGCTCTCATAATACTGCACATCAAGAATACGTTAACACTTTACTTTGCAATCTTGGCCTATTATCAGCCTCTGTCAATGAATTTGTACGAAAATTCTATGGAAATTTATATGAAAAACTAGAGAAGTTGGCGTGGGGTCCCTTTGCACCCCGACCTTTTGAAATCTTCCTGATGATCGCTATTAATTACAATACAACTAGCAATTACCATTGGGACGAACACGACAAACCAAATAGTTTATGCTGTTTGGTCACTCTTGGAGAATTTGAGGGAGGAGAATTATGTTTCTCTCAACTTCAGATCATTGTACCACTTCAGCCTGGACAAGTTGTGCCGTTTTCCTCGCGTCTTCTACTGCATGGTAATTTTCCATTTACAAAAGGTATTTGTCATAGTATTGTATACTTTGTACATGATACCTTTTTTCATAATCTACAGAAATTCGATAATGTATACGATAATCTGAAGGATGAGATTGAGAGAAATGCTGATGGGCATGATATTCTTTTCATTAAACATCAAAATCTCAATAATGCTCAAGGATTGAATTCCAGAACTACATTTTTTAAGCCGAAAAAAAAGCAAATAACAATTCCTCCTTCATCAACGGATTGTAGAAGGGGTCATATTTCTTTGGTACGTGTTATGTATAGGTTAAGGGCAGAAGATCCACTTCCAGATTTATAAGTAATTGGTAGAAATGTAATATATTTTTATTGTATTACATATAAATATATAATGTACATTTAAAAATTAAATAAATAAATTCTTATCTTCTCCAAACGTGTAGTTTTTACATAATTCTGCTAATATGAGTTTACAATTCTCACTACAACCCAATATGCATCTCTTCCATTCTCATTTATATATCACTCACAAAATATGACAAATATACACAACTCATCTAATAACCCAATTCGTTTTAAAAATGAATCTGGTTTTAATCATATATATTGTACCAAATCTGATAAGTTAAAATACTTCTAAATATACTTAAATCTCATATAATCATTAAATATATCAAGAGCAGAACACGATATAAATGAAAGGATTACAAGAACTGGTGAACATAATGTTCTTAATAAAGTTATCGATGCTGAGAGGCCTTATGATTTCATTAATATGATCTTTGAAGAAGAAATACCCATTCAGTAGGGTTGTCATGTTAGAATTACTCTTCAAGAGTTAATAGGTCCAGGAGGTTCACGTTCTACATTTCATCAGTATTGCCTTCATGCTTCACACGTTCAAGGTGCGAATTTTGATAAATATAATTACAGCAGAGGTAAACCATATGAAGATGGTACTGTAATATGTTTTCATTGTATAAAACTTATGCATATCAATGTTAATTTAGGTTCGAAAGCAAGTCAATTCGATTTAATGAAAGATTATTATGATTATGAATGCTTAAGACCACAAACCGGTTATGGATGCTCAAGACTACGAACTGAGTTTGGATGTACAAGGGTTATACAAAGACTTTGGGGAAATTTTAGAAAAAGGGAACCATCAAATGCACAACTTGCTTGGAACAGTTTACCAAATGATGGTACCCCAGACGATGAAAAACTTCTAGGTTTAATGAGACATAAAGTGAAAAATCCTTAGACTTGAGAACAATTTGATCAATAGCATATTAAATGGATTGAATTATATAAAAATAATCTCATAATGCACAGTTCCATTATTAATAATCAATATAAAGAATATTATATCCTGGTTAATTGGATAGATTCTAAAAAGAGTCAATTGCAGGTTAAATTTCGAAAGCAACTTTTAGAAATAAAAGCATAGTATTTAATTAATTTTTTAATTATATTATTCATTCGATTTTTCAGTTTTTTTGGGTTCAGAATTCGTGTGCTCAGCAGGTAATGCATTTTTTATTTTGCGTTTTTGTCATAACTCTATCTCTTTCTGTAAATCTAGTGGAGTATCAAACCTTAGCCGAATTGCAAGTGGATCATCCTCAGGCCTATCTAGATCAAATACAATAAATTCGCCTTTGCATAAGTAGCTGTTAATAACCATTGATGCATTTTTTATGTCATCTGTATATCTAAGAATAATTTTAGAAGCATCTTCATATAAACTACCAGAATTAAAAAGTACTAAGTAATTAGCATTTTCACGCATAAATGTAGTGATTTTATGATATTTCTGTACCACAAATATACATGAAATATTTCGATGTTGCCCATTTCCAAAAAATTGGCCAATTTGATTCTGTATATATTCTGAAACGAAACACAAATCCTCAAAAACAATTGCTGTACTTCGTTCAGGTGAAAATGCTTTTACACTAGGGATTTTTTCTGGTGATATATAGCTAAATTGTATATTTTCATAGTAAGGTGCTTTCGGGTCTTTTGAAATTATACTATACATATATCTAACGAATGCCCATTTTGGCTCATCAAGATGATAACCACAAACTATTAAATCATTACAAGAAATATATCTTCTACTACCATTTTTTCCTTTATATATGTATTCAGCTTTATCACCAAGAAAAAGATTTGTTAAGATATTAGTCTTATCTGATCTACTTTTTCCTGTAACTATCATTCTAAAGGGCCATGCTGGACTAGCTGGATGAGATTGACAACGAGATGCAACATGTTTATTAGCTTCATCCATATCTATAAGGAATAGTTTCATAGGAGGTATTTTTGAATTTTGTTGTATGGCGGATTGGGAATCCATAACTCTGTTTTCTATATACTAGATAAAAATTTTCTTTCTCCTGATAATTCACTTCACTTTGTTTGTTCATGGTCGGTTTAGTCACATTAGTGCCCTCACTCTGTGAGTATATTCCAGAAAACAAATTACCGGAGGTGGTCATACTGTGGGTATAATCTGGCTTCGAGTTCAAAAAACAAGAAGGCGGGGTTGGCCAAAAAATATTCCTGTATATATACCAAATAATTAGTATTGTTATTATAACAAGAACAACAAGCTTAACAATAGGGGAATCTGATACTTATAATTAACCAAAGCTTTGCCAGCACCTAATGTCACAACAAGTAATGCTTCAATCTCTCTTATTGGTATATTATTATTGCAAAGCAATGACCCTTCTGGTCTATTCTTTATCTTAAATATAATATACTCTGGGCTTATTTTGGGAGAAATGTTACTTCGTACTTGCTCATTATTTATCCGCTTCTTATTAGAAATTTCTGATTCTTTAGGCATATTATCATTTAAACTAGTTAAAGTTTGTTGAGTTAAAGATTCTTGAATATCTCTATCTACTTGACTATTCTCTGTCTTATTGTGAAGCAATGACCCTTCGGGTCTAGGCTTACATACAAAATATTTTGCAAGAGATAAAGAGTTCAGATCCTTTGGCAGAGACTGCATAACTGATATATTATCATCATTTTTTTCATTTGTCTTATCTCTGATCTTAACTTGTTCTGATGATAATCTATTGCAAGGCAATAGCTCTTTGAGTCTAGTTTCTAAGGAGTGTATTTCTGAATTTTTTTCAGTCAAACCATTTTTTATTAGTTCTAATTCACTATTTTTTAAAGTTAACATATTCTTCATGCGCTCTAATTCACTATTTTTCGAAGCTAGATTAGAATTCAAGACAGATAATTCGACCCTAAGATAATCAATCTCAGATTCTTTTATAAATGAGTCCTTCTGGGTTGAAGATAGTCTTGTCTCCGATACTTTTATCTTAGACTGGAAAGCCTTCATCTCTTTTAGTTTTGTACGAATCTTGTCTTTATATTTATTAAGAGAAATATCCTTGCAAGTAATCTGGGATGTTAGAGTATCTAACTCTGAGTGCAATCGCTTAACCTCATCTTTAAGTTGGTAGATATGCTTGAAAAGTTTCTCTTTATCTTTATTAGATCGATTTAGATCCCGTTGTATGCACTTATTGTCTTTATCCAAGACAGAGCATTTATTAGCAAGTTGATTGCCACACTCTATAGCAATTTCTCAATCTTGATTTGCGCAAGCAAGCTGATTTTCAAGTTCTGTTCGGCTAGGTGGATATCGATTAGATGGAATACTCCCGAATTTATTGCCAAATACCAGAGCTATCTCAGCATTTATCTCATTTAGCATATGCAGATTTGTCATATAAATTTACTTGAAGGTAGATATATTTTTTTTTCTTGGTAATTTTCTAAGAAATTTTTTGGCAAAAGTGGTTGGTGTAAATTATTCATATATATATATTTTTCTTTGAATGTAGAGAAAGGGAGCCAGAATCAAACCAATATCAAACTAATAATAAATCAGTTTAAGACAAATATGATATTTAAACTATATACATCTCAACCCTATTTGAATCATGGTTATAGCAAGCTACATGATAAAGGAAACAAATTTTCTTTATATTTCAAACTAATATCAAACCAATATCAGACCAATGCCAAATAGGTTGTGAATAAATTTTTTACAAGTTTTTTATTGGTATTATATAAATTTATTATTAACAAATTATGAGTAAAAAACTATCAACCTGTACTCGTAAATTTCTTAGATTAGATGCCACCCGCTTGTCACCTGAAGCCATTAAAGAAATCAGAAATGCTTAGAATAATATTCTAAATGCTCGACGTGTTATGTGTAAAAAACATCATATAGAGGCAACGACATATCAAAAAATCATCTATAATCAAAGGCCTCTTGAACCGATTAAGGAGTGGCATAAAATTTTAGAATCTGTTAGCATCTCTGATCGGATTTCAGAAAATAACCAGGAATCTTTACAGCTAGTAAGTACTGAGTATAATACCTCTTTTACTAATATACAAGAAGATAAGGTCATTCATATAGAGCATCTTGGAGATGATAAAGATGGTGCAAATTTTTATATAAGGCTGAATACAGTAACTAGTGAACGAAAAATAAGATTAGTTGAAAACAAAAGATTAGTATGAAGGCAAAAGGTGAATCTTCTCCAATAGAAAAAAATAGAATAACCAATTCTTCCAAAGATGATACATCTAGATGGGAATCTGATCTTGAAAAATTAATAAATGATACCAAAAGATTAGCTCCTATTCTTCCATCTTTGTCTCAGTAAGTTGAGAACATCTTTCTGCAAGAGCTTTACCTGCTTTTAAAGCCATATCAAGCCACTCTTCAGTCTTTATGAGTCGCTTTTTAAGTTCATCACATTTTTTTTTAAGTTTTCCTTATTAGTTAAGCTAGATGAAATTTGGGCTAAATCATTTAGGGAGGATTCCTGAGGGACTACCTTCTGCTCATCTTTTGGCAGATCCTTAGCTACTAGAGCTTTGTTATATGTTGGAATAATATAGGTCTTTCCATGTAACTTTATTTGTAATTTTTATTTGGATACCTTGAACTTTTCTAATCCATGTCATACCTAAACAAAGCATTGGTTCAGGCTCACCATTATCAATACGTGCAAAATTCCCTGAAACTATAACTGTTTTTCCTGCCATATCTTTTATAGAGATTGGAATATCCGTAATTCATCCCAATGATTCAGTAATATGTTTTGAATTGTCACTCTTTATAGCAAAATCAGATTGTTTATCATTTTCCCATTCAAGCATTTCGATGGTTGCATTATTAATAGCGCTGAATTCGCTACCCGGATCTAAAAAACTATTAGATATCGTTAAATCATTTATATTGCTATGCAGATATTGTATTGATGAGAACCACTCATTGGTTTCTTCCTGAACTTTATGAGACTGGTTGGATTTACATATTCTTTGCATTGCTGGTGATAACAAATTCATTAGTTGATCATAAGTTTTTGGTATCATTCATATCTTTCCTAGTAAGTGCACTTTGTGCATTAATATGAGACTTATTATCTATTAGTAATACCTGTTTTTTTTTTCTAACTGAGATGGAGCATGCTATATATTATCTTCCTCATTATATCTACCTTCACCATCCTCAATATTATCTGAATCGAGAGATGCATATTGGGATTGGGAAGGTATTAGAAGAAAAAAGTATCAATGTGTTAAATTTGATTTAGCTACTGGTTTTTTGGATTGATTATTAAGTATCATCCTTCCGAATTGAGATGTCATTTGACCAATTTCATCTACTTTCGATTCTATTCTATCTATTCTAGCATTTTGATTTGATGAACGTAATCGCTCTGGTTTACTTGCTATGGAAGAAGGGAAAGCTTTATCTAACCACTGTAGCGCTTCTTCTCTAGAAAGATTTAACCATCTAGAATCCACTTGATCTGCATAAAATTCATATATTTGTTCATGATCTTTGAGTGGAACTGGAGAATGAGATTTTTTGGGTTGTTGACTCATTTTTGATTCGAACTCAGCTTTCAATTTTTCCATCTCGGCTTTATGTTTAGTATTCTGTTTATCAATTATAGCTTGAAATGATTTTTGCATTTCATCATATGAGGGGAATGCTGGTTGTGAAACCATAGGTTGTAGAATATTGCTAGCAGGCTGTGAACTTTGAACATTGTCATTTTGCTTTGTGAATGATTTTTTCTTTGATTGTGCTTGATCAGAGTTTTGATCTATATATAAACTAGAACGCTCAAGCCATAGATTTTTCAATAAAATGAAAAATTTATTAATACCTCCTATATTTTCATTTCTCATCCAACTATAAAGTTCTCGATCACCTGATAAATGAGTTTTAAGAGTTCCTAATACTCGTGCATTATCATTTGCTATACCTAATAATAGTGGACGAATTCGGGCTTCATAGGTATCGGGATTATCAAAAGGTTGAAATCTTTCTTGAGATAATCTTAAAATAGCTGATTGGCTAGTTCCAACTGTTTCTCGTTGATATTTTGCATTTAACCATGCTCTTAAAGTATCTGAATTATCAATATTAACTGCTGGATTTACAAAGTTATTTTGAGCTAGTACTGGAGCATATTTTCCTGCTATCTTATTCTTCATAATTTCGACTTTGACAGCATTATCAAAATCTCCAGCATTTGCACCTTCAAGAGCTGTCATATTTGGTATAGCAGGAGCCCATACTTGTATAATCATATTACAGTAATCATTAGGGGGCATTTGACCAAAATATTGAGGAATCAGATTTAAAAGAGTAGATACATATTTCAATATAGGTAAACGTCTTGCTTCCGCCATATTTAGTGGATTATTCTATAGCAATAAATTTTGTTGCTGTAAATTCAAAATTATTTGTTGTGAATTATGCTCTTTATTTTTCCATTTAATATGGCTTGCTTTTTGGTTTTTCCATTTATTGTAATATCTATCATAAATCTGGTCTCGATTATATTCACAAAGACCTAAGTCAGCCTGACATTGTTGCAATTGTTGCCATGCTTGGTCTTGCTCTAGCATATATTGATCATGCTCTTGCATATAATAATAAGAGTTCTATTGCTCATTTACAAGATCCTGTTGCAGATTGGTAAACTTTCAGCAAATTGATCTTGTTGCTCTTTTTATTTGATTTGACAAAATCATTCTACTTGATGCTGTATTATTTAGATATTTATCTATAGCATCGGCTAACTCAGCTATTGTAGCCATATCTAAAGTTTGATTATAAATAACTTTCATCAGAATCAGATTCATTTTCATTAAGATTCCATACTTCTACATTTTGCAAAGCCTTTCTGGTATTTATAAGTTCTAACCTATCTTGATATCTCAATAATGCTAATGCAAAATTTTGACAAAGAAGATCTGTAATACGGTTTTTTTGTTGATTTATTTTGCTAATCCTATTTATTTGATTGGTTTTTATTGTATTTATTTCTCATTTAAGACGTTCATTCTCATCCACTAATCTAGTTGTATAATCTTGTGCTTTAGGTGTATTTCCAGCTAATTTTGATATTTCTCGTATTCTGGTTTTTAATTTTGTTTCACGTTCATCGAATTCTGATATTAACTTATCTTTATTTGAGATTTTCTTGTTTTTCTTTTTATTTTCTTCTTTGAGCTGATAAACAATTCTTTTTAGTTTTGAGATTTCTTCTGTTAATTCTTCTTTTTCTTGTATAGAAAGTTCTATAGCATTACCTAACTC